AGCCCATGTGTAAGCAGTTGTTATGGGATTGTAGTAAGTTTCTTCATAGAAAAATTAAACAATCCTGGTGAAAATTGATGGAGTAAAGTTCAGGCCATTTTCATTAAAATCTAAGAGCATTTTTGTCTAAACTGACCAAATTAAACTTGAGGTTTCGGTGTCCCTGCATGTGTGTATCTGTGCCGTTACTCAGTCTGTTCTGTGTAATAACTCCTGAACTTGCAGGCAAACGTAGACGTCAGACAAAGGATTTCCCTGGTGCCAACATCATCATACCCCAGATCAAAGCCAAGACGGCCAGGAAGAGAGTGGGTCTGGTGTCCACCGGCCCCCCTGTCCGACAACACACACCCATCCTCAGCCCTGACGGGAAGGTTATAGGTGAGGAGTGGCGGTTTGTCGAGAGCTGTGAGATATGAGAATTGAGAATTTTATAGAATTTTAAAACATAAAAATTCAACACTTATATTTATAACTTACACCAAAGTAAATGCTAAAACTTAAATTCCATCATTTATGGACTTTTTTTCGTTTTAAAGGCCACAATGTGCAGAGTTTGTACATACAGCTTCTTGTTGATGATCCTGTGGTGTCGCCTCACCAAGTTCTGTTAAATTTTGTATTCTTTATTCTCTAAGAGATTTAAAGACATATCCTTCTCTGTTTCATTTAGGTGAGGTGACCAGTGGCTGCCCTTCTCCCTGCCTGAAAAAGAATGTTGCCATGGGTTACGTGGATGCTGCATTCGCTAAGAACGGAACAAACATCCAGGTCGAGGTCAGGAAGAAAGCAGTGCCGGCCACCGTCAGCAAGATGCCATTTGTACCCACTAACTACTACTCAGGATAGGAGGGACACACACACACACACACACACACACACACACACACACACACACACACACACACACTGCAGCATTACTCCACTCTGTCCCTTTTTTTTTAGAAATGCTGCCCCCTTCTGATCACTTCCAGAAATGCAGCACCAATGGAAGACTGAAAAAAGTTGATTCAAACTGTAATGAAATAAAGTGTGTGTGTTTGTGTGTGTGTGTGTACTGGTCAGTCAGTATTCTACATGTGCGTGTTGAAGAAACACAGCATACACTAACATGGTTTCACTTGTTGATGGTTGTGCATTGAACTGTGAGCAGTTTATACATGAGATACATGGAATAAACTAGTCTGCGAATGAATGTATGAGCGCAGTGTATATGTGAACAGATGCTCTGTAAACGTGCTTCAAATACCAAGTTCTGGTTTTCTATTTTGTGACTCGCCAGCAGGTTGGACTGAATCTTTCTGCTCTTTCAGCAAGAACAAAAAAAAAATTAAATTTTTTATTGTAGAATATAAGTTTTGCTAATGAATCATTCAAATCAACATTTTTCATCTGTCACTGCTGGACCAAAACAAACCAAAATATTCTTGTTTCGGGAGGATTTTGGGAGGGTTCTGGTTTTGTCTGTTTATTTGAACAATCACCAGATCTCATCTGATAAACTCTAAGTTTACTCCAGGTGTGGTACTATAATAGACTAACTAAGTTTAAAAGATGTTAATTGTTTTCTCTCTGACTGTATCTCTCTGACTACTGATGGAATGTAATTTCTTTAATATACTAGGACATTAACTTTTGACTTTTTGTTGATCGCTTTATGTCTTATTTCATTAAAATAATGATAAAATACTAAATATAGAAATAATGATAATGCTTGAAAGTGCACTGTATTAGATTAGAGGTTAGATTAGATAGAACTTTATTGATATCTTTGGGAAGACTCCCTCAGGGAAATGAACATGTTTGAGTGTGGATTTTTATATCAAAATTTTAAAATGTTTTCTCTTCAATAAAGGCAATTTTCTCTGCATTGTGACCCACGGTTTTTATTTCGATTGTATAAAAACATTCTTAAAATCATCAAATAATATTAAAATGATTAAATGTTTGAATTTGATGAAATGGTCTTGAGGTGAGCATGGAGCAATGGTTCAAAAGAGTTTGAATTCTGTCTCTTTTTTAAAAAAAAAACAAGTATTTTTACCACTAATTCCATCTTTGGCCAAAATTCTAAATGCTGAAATGCCTAATTCTGATTTGATATATTTAACATATTATAATATCGAGGATTCAAAATGAAGTGTTGTCAATTGTTAAAGATATACATTTTGGGGGGCTTTGCTTAAACATATTTAACGAGTTCAGCTGTATGATGTAATGACCTCTCACTGTGTTTAGTTAATGGTTCAGAAATATCAGCGCTAACGGGGGATGCTGACGGAACAAACCTGGCAACCCCGGCTGCCGGTGTGACCAGTCGTTACTGAGGAAGATGGTGGACTTCGTGACAGCAGCGTGCTCTCTACTCCGTCCCAAACACAGTGGAAACTGCGCTCTGTCTCAGCCCGGCATTAGATACAGATTACCCGGGGACAATCACAGATAATACACCGAGAGAACCGCGGAGGAGAGGGACTCTTTTCGCCTAGGACAACTCTCGATTTCCCGGTGCGAAGAGGGCGGAGAGTTGCGGAGCGTGGCGGCGGTTGGTGAAGGACGCTAGTCGTCGTTAGACAAAGTGTCAACACAAGTGTGGAGGAAGAGGGCGGTGTGTGGAGCTTCTCTCCCCCGGCTGAGGACAAGGTCTACGGACACTATCGAGCTTTTTATCTGGCTCCCACAAACCACATGTGAGCAGAGCAGCTAGCTAACTTGAGCTAGCTCTGTTGTGAAGTGTTGGATCAGAGCGCCGCTGCTGGAAATGCCGCGGAGCAAAAAGGGGAAACGTGGCTCCGGTAAACCGGGTGAGTAGCCTGTAGCCGAGGCGCCGTGCTAACTCACTGATGCAGCTTCTGACAAGAAAACCTCCGGAGTGTAATGACTGAATGTGACCGATTTAATCATAGTAACAGAACACGCTTTACACCGCGATCATCGCGCTGTCTTTTCTCCGTCCATGCGGCTTATTATAGCTCAGCGGCGTGACACTTATTTTAAAGCCACCATGAGCTCACTTCAGGTTAGTTAGCAAGTTTAGATCCACCGAGTATGTCTGCTAACCCCCTGGAGCCAGGCGTGCTACAAGTAGCTCCTGTAGGGTAAAGTAAGGTAAAGTTAACCAGGATGTGCTAATTTTAGCAGCAGTTTCGTGCCACTTAAAATTGGTGGGTGATGACTATTGAACAGTCACATGCAACAAGTGCATCATGGGCTCATTGTATTTTAAAGGTCCAGTGTGTAAGATTCAGGTGAAAGGGAACTATTGGCAGACATTTAATGTGGATTAATCCTCATGATGTTTTCACTAGTTCTTTTCATCTAAATTGTATGAACTGTAGTTTTCTTTACCCCAGAAAATACCTTTATATTCAAATACTTCATATCTACATCGAGGGGACCCTCTCCCGCCGCCATCTTTTTTACATTAGTCCAGACTGGACAAACTAAACACCTTTTGAGTTTTATGACATTTAAAGGCTACCACAGGTTCTTTTCCATGTTTGAAGTGGAGGGTGAGGTGAGGGGTGTTCAGCTGCAACATGCAATTTAAACACTAGATATCACTAAATTCTACACCCTGCACCTTTAACACAGACAGCTGACAGGCAGTGAAGTTGCTGCTTTAAGAGATGCAGCCACACATGGTTTCTATCCATGTACTGCAGTGGTGTGCACTATGCATGTGCCTGGGAGAGGCGTCTCAGCCCCCTCACGTTTTATGTGTGACGTTGCCCTGGAAGCTCACACGTGCTAACACATGTATATAAAGACATACACAGATGCACACATGTGCTCACACATTTTTGTGAAGTGTACATTTGAACTTATTATATATATATATATAGTTTTATTATCACTATCTGAACTAGTGCAGTATTCTTAATTGTGCTTTAGTCTTTTCCTTGCAAAATTTCATCATTCAAAAAGTGGAGCTCTCTTCTGATTCTATTATTCTATTATGGTCACTCCTGCAAACCTTAACCCATCCCTCCATTCATCCACCACCCACCATCCGTCCCCCTTTCCCCCCTCCAACCTGTACCCCCTTTATTTCATTCATCCATCCTCAGGCTCTCTCCGTCAGGAGCTTCTTCAGCTGCAGCTGTCGACTAAGTCTTCTGTGAAAGGTAACTCCTCTGCCCCTTGACACCCCCCCGATCTCAGCTTCAGGTCCAGCTCGGGGCATGTCCAGCAGCCCTTGGACCTCACTGCAGTGCATGCAGGAACCCCAGCAGACACTCACTCACCTGATAACCCGTTGTGTGTGTTTCAGCTGCACTGAGCAGGTTTAACTCTGCCCTCATACAGTACCTGCTTGGTCTGCTTTAAAGTCTGACTGCCTGCCTGACTGTGTCACAGCCTCTTTGTGGTTTTACTGCGCAGTGTCACCAACATCACTCCATTACTGAGTGCCCCCCCCCCCCCATGCATGTCATGCTGCTTGAACACCATGAGTTAACGGACAGTCCACCTTCATGCTGAGACTTTCTCATTCATCCAGCCTTCAACTTACATTTGGCTGATAACTACTAGTGTTGCCTTATCATCCCACGTGTGTGATCCCCTCATGTCAACACTTTTTTCTCTTATCTGCACTGACACAGACGAGTTTGAATTTCCAGGAGAGTTATGTTCTCTCTCACTTCTGCACACGTGTACGTTAAGTCCTGTTAGTGTGACATTATTTATGTTGAGTTCAAGTCACAACATTGGTTTTGTATTGTCAATCTTTGTGGCTGCCTCTATGCTTCACCTGTTTATGTTTATTTTTATATTTTTTACAGGTAATTTGCTTTTGATCAGCAACTTTGTGTTATTCTCCACAGCATAATTGACATAATCTCACAGTATGTATCATTCGTAAAATTCAGTAGAATGTTGCAGTGAGATCAATGATGTCAAAATTGAGTTTCGTTGCCTAAATTCTGAAGCCTTCAGGGAAATATTCTTTGGTTAATCCCAACATGCAAAATGCTTGTGGAGAGAACACAAATTCATATAAGCTCACTGAAAGTTATGTGTCTTGCCTTTAAACCTGTACTACACGATCAGTGGACTGAAATAGGCTCCCGCCCGTTTGGCTCGGAGTCCGTCAGCAGAGCCTCTAGCTCATGGACTGACGGCCAGAGCTGTGTGAATGATTGCTATGTAAGCTTAAAGTAGCAAAGTGGAGATGACACGTGAACCCCCCCCATAGCTATGCTGTATGTGGGCAGGCTTGCATAGGAAGGTGTGTAATTTGTGTGTGTGTGTGTGTGCATGCGTGTGTATGCGTGTGTATGCGTGTGTATTGACAGGGGAGTAACCTTTGCAATGGTTGGGAGTTCAAGGATGATGACTGGGAAATAACCGGCTGCTGCAGGCTTTATCTCAGCTGTCTGCAGTAGGTTTGTGAGTGAGTGCCTGCAGGCTGCATGTCAAAGAAATGAGAATATTACATAAGAAAGAGAAACGGTCGGGCTGCATTCAGGTTTAGCTTCAGTGAAAAACTAGATTTTTTTGAATGTTATCACTCAGGCATGTGAATGAAAATGACATTTTCATTCATTAATTTTTAAAAAAAATTGAGTTCCTGTGCTTGTTTAGCTTTACAGTCATTGTCCACTAATGCTGCAACATAGTAATGTGTCAATGTGAAGACGCCCAAAAAATTATTACAATATTATTTGGTTGTACTGCACGATATCTAAAATATTATCTAACAGTATTGTTGAAGTCATATTAATTGGGCTCCTTTTCGTCTTGTAACTGCTGCATAAAAAATGTGACTGAGGTCAATCCAAAGCCTTTCCCACTCCCAGATGTTTCCTCCCCAAAACAACAAGTTTTATGATTTTAACTTGAGACTGCAGGCTGTAATGTTCACTGCCAGCTCAGCAGTACATGCACTTACACATGTGCTTTTACTGCTTATTGTGTAACGTTCTGACGCTGATGAAAAGGTAGTTATTATAACTATTAATAGGAACACACCCTGCACGTGTTGTGCTAAAAAGTGTCCTCCAACATTAGATGAGCAAATGTTGCAGCTATTGTAATCATGTTAGCAGGCAAATGAAATTTCAACAGAATAGAAGAGCATTGGAATGATTCTGGAATTTAAAAGTGAATTGGTCAACCAAAGCAGAAACTCAGCAGTGTTTTGGCTGGAGATCTCTTTTCCTCTGAATGCTTCATTTTCAGTTCGAAGAAAGGACAGAAAAGAAGATGTTATAACAATGACTCAACACCCTATTCAAGTCATATGGCTGAACTTTATCCCACTTTACTCAGTTTCCACGTTTTCAGCTCAAAGTTACACAACTACAACCCCCATGCTGCATTGATGCAACCATAGCTGTGACCTATTAGTTACCCCAACTGTACTGTTTGACCTGGGCATAAACAAACACACGCACACACACACTGACCATTCTGGATCGCACACAGTGGTCTAATCCCTCCAACAGTAGAAAGCACTGAGCCAGCAGGAACCTGAGGGTTAGCTGGCCTCTAACCCTGTTCAGGGGTGGTGGGGGGGGGAAGCACTTACAGCTCATGTCTTAAATTGAAAAGGTCACTTTGCATAACTTAAGTTATTCCACATAAATAACACAGTCCTTTAAGAGAGACCTCATTAGTAAGAATCAGTCTTATGTGGGGAGGAGGATAGATCTGCCTCTTAGAATAAGATTTTAATTCATCAGTCTCAGCGTGAAGCTTTTGCTGTGGTTCGCAAATGACAATTTGGGGTTTGCAATTCATCCCCATGCATTTGTGTGTGTTGAAGAGAACTCTGCTGGTGTACAGTTACTGACAAAAAAAGACAGCTGTGCAGGGGAGGCTTACAGTCAGCTTCCTTAAACCTGCTATTACTCAGGAATGGCAACTAGCCAACCCTTGTTAGTTTTGACTGCTTCTTGCTGGTGTTTTTATTTCACGTTGCAGAAATGAATATAATTGAATAAAGTAAAGTGACAATTGTAAGGTAGTTATTTATTGCAGGGATGTTGTCATTGCTATCACATAAATATTAAGTGTTTCTGCTATTTTGTCCACTCTCCTAAATTGCAGCCTGATGAGAATAAGGCAGCACAGGGAAACACTTTGGACGGTAAAGGGAGGAAACAGCTGTTACGAAACATTCAAATATAATTTTATGATATACATTTTATAAATTATAAGTTATTAGGACCTGAGCAGTACGAAGTTTACTTTGTGTAATGTAAAAAGTTAGTCTGGAGTCCTGAGACATGAACAAGATCAGTGCCGTCCGCAATTGATACCTCAGCAAAATATGATGCATCCTCTGGTCTAAAAAGATCTGAAATAAAGAACTTCCCAAGAAGACTTACAGTGTGTGTGGGGCTTGAGATCAGGTGTCAGTGCATACAATGGCTTGGACCCGAACAGCATACCAAAGACCTCCCTGAGATGGACACCACCTGGACAATTCAGGCAAGGTCAGCCCAAAACAACTTGGCGCCAAGTAGAAAGAGATGTGTCTGACATGGGCAGAGGCCTGACATGAAGCCCAGGACAGGCCCAAATGGAGGCCGATCGTGGATGCCTTTTGCCCCTCAAGGGATGGGGAGGACTAGCAAACCTTTGACATAACCTCAGCATCAGAGTTTGTGTGTGACCTGAGACTCTATGCCAGAGTGAATAATTAATGCTGTCTGTCATCATCTAAATATAATATCTCTCCTTTCTCCTCTTTTCTTCCCTCTGTCTCACATTTTTAACATCATCATCTTCTTCTCTCTCCAGGTACCAAAAATGGGGTGAAGGGGGAGTCGGGTGCCAGTGACGATGAGCTGACGTCTGATATTCTCAGCCACTGCAGCAGTGCCAGCGAAACCGCTTCTGTGCTGGAAGAGGGCACAGGTTAGTACATAAATGCAGATACTACACACTGTCATAATATTATTGATCTTGGACAGTGACCATGTTACTTGTGTGCACCAAAATTAATAGATGCAGCGTAACAAGGATATTTTACTCTTAAGCCTTTCATACAAATCCACTAATATGTGCAAAACTCAGGGGCTGAGCAGGTGGATGAGCAGACCGCCCAGGAGGAAACAGAAGACAAACTCAAACAATGTATAGACAACCTGATGGATAAAAGGTGAGGGATTACTTTTACCCAGTCACTCTCAAACATAAAATTAGGGAATGTCAACAAAGACAAAGTGGGAAGATAAATGCAAATTGTTACTGCAACCTTTTGTACCTTGCTAATTCCTTTATTTAAATTGAATCTATCCTATATTTATCTTGTTAACCACACCTAGTTTAAATATAATTTATTTATAACAGTATTATACATTGTACATCCATTTATCAACGTACAGGCTCAGTACTGTAGATATATATGCTATCCTTTTCCAAAATTCTGATTTTAATTTCTACTTTGTGCTTAAGCTTATAAAGTGATAGATTAAATACATTATACAAGATTTATTGTAATGGCAGACATTACAGAAAATAATGTTGCTGAATATTTCCCCTTCTCTCTTTCCTTGTCTCTTTCACTCAGTGCTAAGACTCGGCTTGCCGGCCTCGAGTCGTTGCGACAGGCCTTCTCCTCCAGAGTACTGTACGACTTCCTGATAGAGAGACGCCTCACTATTGGCGACTGCCTGGAAAGAAGCCTTAAAAAAGGTGAGAGTTGGCAAGAAGGGGAACTTTACTTAATGGTTGCTTAACTGTAGTAGAAACCATATATTTCTATGTGGGACTTTCTGTTTCTTGGGGTGGTACTACAGTAAACTTCAGATGCAGTAATTAAGACCATAAATAACCTATTATTTTCCCTCCTGTTCCATCTGTGTGTCCAGGCAATGGAGAGGAGCAGGCGGCGGCTGCCACAGTCTTCACCCTGCTCTGTATCCAGCTCGGAAGTGGAGACGAGGCAGAGGAGGGCTTCAAGGTGCTTCGCCCCATCCTCACTGCCATCCTGATTGACAACAGTGCCAGTATAGCAGCCCGCCAGAGTGTGAGTAATGACGTAAACCTTCTCTGATATTGTACAAGATTTAGGGTTTGGGATTAGCTTCAATCTCTATAATCCTTTGTTGGAAAAGAGCAGAAAAGGAAAGTATATGACAGTTTAAGCATCATAACACCTTGGTCATCTGCTGTTTTCTGTCAACTGTGTCCATTTTGGAAACAAACAGAAAACATAAAAGCAAAAGGCAGTGTTTAGGGGACTCTTGAGGACCACTCCCACAATGTGACATTACCAGCAGCCATTACTGAGTCTATGGGTTGGAAACTCATATCAGTCATACTGGCCTGTAAAATAAAGAGTAATATGTCCATAAATACATAGTTTATTTTCTTAATTGTTGCTTAGCTGAAGTAGAAACCACATAATTGTTTCATGGTGGAGTTTGAAAACACTGAAGGAACAATGTAAAGGTTATTCCAAAGTATAACCACTTTGACTTCTTGTTTTTTCCAAATAACCTACTGGAACAGGTTGTTTTTGAAGTGACTTGATGTTAGCTAGCCCTACAGTCAGTGGAGTTACATGCAGCCAAAGAACCCAATTTCTGATCGTATAAGACAGAGTTTGGACTTTTAAAATCCATGTAAACACCTTAGTGGAAACACCTTAGTCTGATCTACATCAGTGAAAAAAGGACCATAACGGACATCTCAAAATCGGAAAAGAACACCTAGATAAGTCGTGCATTGTTGGCATTCTAACAGCACGTATACTCAGCCATCGTATCTAAATCGAGTTTTGCATTCTGCGCATGCTCGAGGAATTTCCGCCGGGGCTTTCACCCGGAAGTGGAATGAGACGGCTCTGGTAATAAATAGTAGTGTTGTTGCCGGATAAGGTCAAATGACACCATGGCTTCAACGAAATCAACAACTCACTTCTGGACGGACGAGGAGACCTGATAGAAATGTCGCCAGATAGTTTGTTCAAGCTATCCCATGTATACGTACTGACTGTATTAGGAATTAAGAGAGGAATTGCAGTGTCACTGTCCCTGTTTAATCACTGAATTTTCTTGCAGTGTGCCAGAGCTCTGGGGATGTGCTGCTATGTGTCTGCTGCTGAGGAAGGAGAGGTGAGAACAAAGTGTTAAAGTGTTGCAGGGAAATATTTGCATCACCGTGAATAGTTTGAGTGCTGCACTTGAATTTTCAAGTTAGGACTTCAGAGCTTTTACTCTACTAATTGTTACACCTAATGTACAAACTAAAATAGTAAGAAAATTAAGACCGAAGGTGCCGGATAAAAACTCACTCTAAAACCTAGCGTTGTTTAAAAGCAACCCCCTTAAACCTGAGGGCTTCCTGAAGAGAACATTTGGAGAAACATTTGGCTTTCATCATAAATCATTGCCTTTTCCATAAATAAAAAATAACAAAACAATAAAGCTGGCAAGTTTGCAGAGATCCCTCCTTAACTTCCTCTTCCTCCTCAAACACGTCTCTTTGTGAGCAGGAACATCCTCTGGGTCTGACTCTACTTCATTGTTTTTTCATTATTGGGTTTTTTTAATGAAACATCTGCTTCAGTATCACTCCCCTTCCTTAAATTGTCAGCCATTGTCTGAAACGCTCGAAAGAAAGAAGAACACAAACAAAAACCCTTTAAAATTCTCCAGATAAAATCTTATCAAATGAGGGTTAACTCAGCAATGGCAGAATTAATTAGTAAGTTTCACTTTCTCATACCTCATTAAATGTTTTTTCTTTTTTTCCCCTCCCCCCCAACATTGTTGCTGAATCGGACAGGACTTGATCAAGTCACTGGCCCTCCTGGAGAGCATATTCATGTCTTCCTACCCCAACAGAGAGGGGACGCTGCCCACTCCTAAACCTGGGAGTCCGGGTCTTCACGGTGCTGCTCTACAGGCCTGGTCACTGCTGGTCACCCTGTGTCCTGCGTCCAGACTGACTGTGCTGCTCGACCTGTGAGTGCAACAAACTCAGTATTCACAATGACAACTCTAATCTGAGTTAATGTCCAAAAGTGTAAAATTGTTTCTCTTCACTGGTCTCATTCACAAGAAAATGCTGCAACCGCCAACTAATTTTACATAAGCACTGTACCATAATTTTTCCACTGTTCAAAACACCCACTAACACCTGGCTGTTGCCCGCAATGGCGACAATCAGCATTCAACTCCCGGGTCAAATGGCTCTGCAGCAGACATGGGCTTCATTCGGGCCACGCTCTGATCTGCAGTGATCGAAGCGAGAACACGCTGAGAGAAAGCACCTCCGATTTTGCTGGGTCTGTGGTAATAAATTTAAAATGTGTTTCACACCTGTTTCTACGTGGTATTTACCGTCAATATTAGCAGAGTCCACCTGTTGGGAAATGTTCAACTTTACTACACTAGCAGTTAAGTATTTCTGGTGTTTATGATCCCCGGCTGTGTGCAAGCAGAATGTGAGAAACCCTGTTCTCTCTTCTTGTTTTCCCATTACTCTCACTTCCACTCACTTCTGTTAACCTTTATGGACATGACATTTTGAATAATGGTGTAACTAACAGTTATTCTCTTGCTCCATTTTCTTATTTGCAGTCACCTCCCCAAACTGCAGGTGTGTCTGCAGAGCAATGACGTCAACTACAGGATCGCAGTGGGAGAGACCATCGCCCTTCTGGTGGAGCTGGGCCGAGAAATAGATGAGGTACACAGACAGTTGTTCACCTGTTTTGCATAAACTAAATGTGGGACACACACACAGTCTATTAAGTAAAAGGGCAAGAAGGGAGATGCTTTTTTCCCATGACACCCATGCATATTTATAGTTTAACAATATCTCTGTTGTTAGTTCAATTACTGTAAATAATGCTACATTACTGTACCACAGGTTTGTCACTGATGTGTATGTGTTTGTTTGTGTGTGTAGGAATTTGAGGTGATGGACAGTGAAAGTCTGTGTGAATCTCTGAAGGGTTTAGCAACAGATGGCAACAAACACCGAGCCAAGAACGACAGGAGAAAACAACGCTCCATCTTCAGAGAGGTTTTACATTATATAGAGGTTTGTTTTATATATGCAAAGTTTATATTTGTTGCTACTGATTGATGTCACTTTTTTGGCTTTCATTTTGTGACGTCTCTTTTCTTCTCCGGTAGAACGAGGACTTCACAGAGGAGAGGATCAGGTTTGGAGTGGAGAGCGTTTACATCGACGGCTGGATGAGGAGACGAATCTATGATGCCTTCAAAGAAATCCTGGAGTCTGGAGTCAGACACCACCTACAGGTCAGGAAACGCACTAAATGTAAAGGAGGAGTCTGAAGATTTTGTATCTCCAGCATCTGGTCGGATGTGGTTGCTTCTGTGCTACATATGTTTGTGTTACCATCTTTGAGTGGTAGCAGTTTGACACACTTCTGCTTTCACATCTGGAGTGGACACCACTAAACAAACATTTTGAGCAGGAATGCTAATATGTGCCTGCAGAGCCAACAGGTTCAGGCCTCGTCCACAGGAATCTTTAAAAACCCTTTTTTTCCTATATGTTTTGTTCACATAATGTAATTTTTGTTTTAGTTCAGTGAAAACCGATCTTTCACACATCTCCCCTCAGGGTGAAGATGTTTTTAGTTTTTAAGTGTGGATGTGTAAACAGGAAAAACTTTTTTGCAGTGGCAGGGAGAGATCAACACATAATGCAACTTGGGAAAACACATGAAACAAGATTAAAAAAAATCTAATTCATAAAACATCTCTATCGATTTGTCTACACATGAGTTGCAAATATAAACAACACAATCAAATACAGAAAGCATTCAACAACAAGCACACTCCAGCCGAGTTCATCATCTTGTATGTCCCCTGGAAACAGCTGTTGTTGTTTGTTTTTTGTTGCAGTGTCTTTTTGTGTCGTGTGTATTGAGTGATGTGAAAATTATAATTTTTTTTCTGAGTTTGTGTGTTATAAATGTGCATGTTTTTTATGCCTCTGCACCAGCGACAGCCAGTGGCAGGAGGCAATATGTTTTCGGGTTTTACATCCCATTCTTGTGAACACGATATCTCAAGAAAGCCTTGAGGGAATTTCTTCAGATTTGTTACAATTGTTCACAAAGTCAAAATTATATTGATGTGAATATAAATATTAAAAATATTTATTTAAATTTTGTCTGAAAGCATTGTGTGCATGCTGTTGGTAGATCTTTTGTCAAGTCGTTCTTGCACTGAAAGATTTGACCAATAATGGCTCATTAAAAAGGAAATGCAAAATAAAACTTGTTTATGTCCATAAATTATGCTCACAACGTGTGTTTGTGTTTGTTTTGATGCAGTTCAACCCACTACTCAGAGACATCTTCGGACTTGGCGCCCCCCTCATCCTGGACCCTGCTGTCAGAGGCAACAAGATCTCACGATTTGAGAAGGTGACAGCCTCTATTTTGTTCTTCAGTCTCAACTTGCCCATTAGGACAATCCAACTTTATGTGTTATTACATTTTTATGCCGCTGTGTTCATGTTGTCTGTACGTTTGTTCATAGGTATGTGCATCTGCACTATGTACGTCAGTCAGACTGAGTCGGTGAGGTAGTCGTAATAAGTACATTAATAAGTTGGTTAGTGAGTGAATGACAAAGACAATGTTTGAATGGACACAAATATTCAGATTTTATCTGATTAAAAAAATTGTCTTAATAAGACCCTGGCATGTAAACAGCTCATTAATACTGTAACACTATTTGATCAGAGCCATGAATCCTGTATCTATATTTAGACACACAATCACAGGCAGAGTTCACAGTGTGCATGGCCCTCCTTCTACAATGCTGCCTCTTCTTCCTCATTTCGATGAAGGGCTCATCTCTCTGCACAGCCTTGAGTCGGCTCTGTCTGATGGCATTGAACAAGGCTTCCCTGAGCCGGTTCACTGTGTCCTGCCGCTGTGTGGCAGAACTGTGAGTTGGGCCATAGGAAGAGGGGCTAAAAAGCCAAAATCCACAAGCCTGAACAATAGAAACACATGAAATTCATAATTTAAACTCCAGTCCAACATCAACACAAGCAGTGCTCTTATTTCTCTTATAAGTGAATCTACTTAAGTCTAAAGACACCACTCTGTGAAACATTCCTCAGCAGAGAGCAACATGTAACCAGAGCCAGCATCACAAACCCATGTGAAAACCAAACACTTTTGAGAAAAACTGAGTTTTGGTGAATTTAGTATTTTATTTTTCACTTTCTTAAAGTTTGTGCTGGTTTTCAATATTTTAGTGAATTTCTCAAGAAGTAAGCAGAGACCTTTATGAAACAAATCAGGCATGTGTGGAGTGCTAATATCTATGAACCAATAACATTTAGTGCACATCTGAATAATGATCTGAATATATCTGATCTCAATACATGTATGAATGCAATATGATACTCGGTCAATCAGCCTTGGTGGAGGTATTCGCTCTCCGAGTCTCCTACAAGTTTTTCTTCTTATTATCCTCATCTTTTGTGTGATAATAGAACCTGAGAAGTATAAAAATGGGACACGTCTTTTTGTCTTCCTTCTTCTACAGCATCTTTTCAACTCTGCTGCCTTCAAGGCCAGGACAAAACAGAGGAGCAAAGTCAGGGACAAACGGGCTGACGTCATGTGAGAGACGGACGAGGACGGAGCGAAGGGACGAGTAAGCGAGGAAATTTCCAGGCTCTACTAAGACGGATACAAAATGATGCCTTTGGCGCTTCAGCTGTCAGACACACTCCCTCGACGGGGGCTTTTTCCACATGTGCTTTTCACCTGCGACTTAACTCTACTGATTCAAGATGGCCGCCATTTATTCTTCCTTTGATGAACAGTTTTAAAGTTCTTCCAACAACAACAGCTGCTTACAGTATCTTCTACATAATATTAAATCAATTATTCAATTTATTTCATGCAGTATAAAACAACTTGACTTCACAGAAGAGTAAATGTTCTGTGAACACATTAACTGGGATCCTCAGAAATGCCGTTTTACAATCAAAAATCACAGAGAAAGTGAAGTAGTAGTAGTAGTAGTAGTAAGACATTTCAAAGCTTTATGGTACATTTCAGATCTTTGGAACAGCCACTGAAAACCCTCTTTGGTGCTGATGAGTATTGTTTTTGATGCTCAGTTCTAGCTGCTGCCCTGTGGTTTGGCTAGTCAGTCAAATCTTTTTAATCCTCATTACTGTTGCCTTTGCCTGGACACAACAAGTCCCGGTTGATGTTTGAATTAGTGCATTTGAACTTCTGTAGTTAATTAAAAAGCAAAAAGAGCCATGGAAATATATTCTGACAGAACAATTTTTCCGTTCGATGGGTTAAATTTTTCCTCGCTAACACCCACATTCGTCCCCTCTCCTCTTTTACACTCAGTCACTACTTCAGCTGCCAAACCAGAAACTGACGTTACAAACAGTGCAAGAAAAAGTGTGTGGTGTGAGTTTTATTTGAATTTTATTTAACATCATCGGGTAAAAAAGGAAGTGAATACTAATTAAAAGAGTGAATCAATGAGCTGATATAGTCTTCTTTATAATTCATATTTTTGAGAGGAAAAATACGTTTTAACCATTTCTGGTGGATAATTGTATTTTACTTTCTAATTTATTAAAGGAACATTGTGATTTTTAAGAAACTAAGAACTGTTTACAGACACAATTATGGGAAAAATATTCTATTTTGTTGTATTCATTGTATTTTAATGCAGGTTCGGAGGGTCATACAATCTATCCATGTGTATGTATTGCACATATACTGTACATAGGGACTCATGAGTAGATGTCTACTTGAATCATTGGATGCATTTGAATGATTTTCCCTCTTGATGGGCAGTGAACACATTTACATACAGGCCACTATAACCAGAGCTGCTGATCAGAAGAGTTCGGTGGAGTTGCTGTATTCAGTAGTGGTCAGGTTTGCATCACATCATCGATTATAATGTTTCAATTTAAATGACACCATTAACAGCTGCCTGAATGTTTCTGTACCGTGTTGAATATTCCTCTCCAGCTGTTGAGCATCTGTTTGACTCCTGTATTACAGCCTCTTCAAACTGTCTCATCAGTAGTTCTGGTGTTGAGGCATAAGGGATCATGGATCTTAAGAGAATAAAAGACTGTGACCACTTTCTTTGTGTCTTTTGTGATTTTGAAAAAGTTTTTGTTGCCTTTCTGCCCTGGAAATATAAGATTTGTGGAATGAAGAGGGGAAAAGTGAATGTCTATACACAATGAAGTTAATGGTGTAATCAGATATTACCACTCTGATGACCTTAACAAAAGGTTCATGTTATAGCCTCAGATCATCTGATAAACTCAAAAACAAACAGGTGAAAGGTGCTCTTTAACAGTCTGAGTCAGACAAATATGTGAAGATTTACTTCTGTTTAAGTGGTGGGAAAGTCAAAAGTATAAGTACTCTAATTAAAGTACTTTTTTTTTTTCCATTTCCCGAGTTTATTCACTTTTACTCTGACCTTTTAGAGGTAAAGGGTTGCCTCTTCCCTCTACCATTAATCATGTCATTGTCCATCAGATTTGTCTTTTAACCTCTAAAATGGTTAAAGAATTGCTCTTTTTTTCCAGTTTCTGCTTTAGTTTTTCATGTGGTATTTTTATTTCATGGTATTGGTGCTTGTAATTTTGGAGCAAATAATCCCACATATATTGTTTACATAACAGCTTTTTCATTTAGTCTAAACACCAGTGATGTTGAGTGGTTGTCTGTCATACGTGTTTGTAAATATTTATTTATAACATTAGGTTACAAAATGTCTATAATAATTAAGACTGCCCCCTACATGTGGAGAATAAGTCAATATTGAAAATGTAATTTTGCATGTTAGTGTGTGTATAGCATGCTATACTCATTCTTTTTCTATACAATATCTGCCTATATGCATTCAGCCTAACCTTTTCACATATGGACACATCTATCAAACAGTTTTTTTTTTACATGCTAATGCAATCATCTAGTGTTTTATACAAAGCACTTCTGCAGTGAAAGGTTTATATCATATACATATTCTGCAGTTCTTTATAAAACTATATTTTATTTTTTAATTCCAGTCCCTTTTTATTCTGTCTATCTCATTCTGACTGCTGCTGTAACAACAGGATAAAGTTTTATCTCGTCTTATCTTATCTTAAGCCCACAGAAGAAAACAGGTATTTGAAAATAATAATTAATATCAATATGAGTAATATTATCCAGTTGAAAACAGATCTAAGAGAAGAGACTGAGTGACTTACTGCTGCCCCCCTGAGGTCACTGTGGTGCAGTACACCCCTGCAGCCTGCAGCACAGTGGTACGATCCATTCATGAAGTCAACATGGAGGCTTCCGCAGTGGCAGAGAGCTGAGTCCAGACTAATGGAGGCGAAGGAGCTGAATCCATGAAGTGACCTGCTGCTGTGAACCCGCACAGTCACGTGGTGCAAGTGTCTCTGCTCCCTGTGATGAGTTAGTGTGTTCACGTGCACGGGCAGTGCGTGTGTTTGTGCGTGTGCGTGCAGACACAGGAATGGAGTCCAGTCAAGTCAGCGGGGTGTATTCAGAGCTCAGCGGCCTCCCTGCGCCTCTTTCTGCCCATGTGAGAGAGGAGCAGCTCCCGGAGCTCCGGGTCTACACCGTGACTGCTGGTGAGCTGCTGACACACACACACACACACACACACACACACACACACACACACACACACACACACACTTCTTCTTGTCAAACTAACATCAACACATCTTCACCTTAAAATGTAAGAATTGATGTTGTGAGGATTTTATTTTTTTCAACACACACAAGCAGAATAGTAATTATAACAATTCATTTTTATTCTGGATGAAAATGTACCACAGTTCCTCTGTGAGATGTTCTTTAGATCAGTCAAATTCCCTGTGTTGAAAGGTTAAAACTTTGGGGGATATAGAGTGAAGTACATGTCATGTTCGGCCAGTGGTTGCTCAGATACCCTGCTGAGAACAGTTGAACTGAGCCTCAGTGAGCTCTGGACTCCTGATCCTCCTCTTTGTCCAGAGTCAGCAGGTGAATCTCACAGAAAGTGAAAGAGACCCTCGCCCAGTGAGGTTTTAATAAGCCGGTCTGAAAACCCAGTCTGTCTGAGAGTGACTCTGACCTCCAGCATGTCTCTGGACTCCATGACAACCTGCTGCTACTGACACCTCTCATCATGTCCTAAAGGTTTAACAGGGTTTACGCAGTACGGCCATCTGTTCCTCGGCTGGAATACCATCCACACTGTTGTTTGCTGGATGTTGTTCAGTGCTTTGGATTGTGAGGTCGAGGGGGGGGCACTCATGTCCTGTTCATAACACCAGTTACCACTGATTGAAGTATAAAGACTTTTAAATGGACCTGGTGGGATTTTGCTTCAACTTTTTCAACAGATTATATGAGTAAACCAGTTATGTTTTTGGTGTTTTGCTACAAACATGGAAGACGCTGGCAAGTAAAGTAACGACACCAAGAGCATCTGAGAGGTGGTGTGAGGAAGTATTTTGGGTTCTACACTGACAGCCACCAATGTGAGGCAGTGTAGAAGACACCACACATGTGCAACGTCAAGTCTTCAACCACATGTCAAATTTGTTTGAACTTGAGTTCTGGAAAAAGTGACAGCCCTGTGGCTCACTAACTTGGGATAGAGGGATTGGTGCCACTTTAGTTTCCACACTGCACCCTGAACTTCTGTTCTTACTCTAATGTTACTTTGGTTAGTGGGTAGGATCGCCTGTGAGAGGTGTGGAACTGTTTCCAGCTTAAATGACCAGAATCAGTCACAGCAAGTTTAAGATTAATGTGGAACTGTAGATCAGTAAGAACCTGCATTTATCTGTAATATTCAGTGAGCAGACTTTTAAAATAAGAAGAATTCTATACAGAGTTTGGTGTATTTTTTACAGTGACCGCTCAGATAATTCTAATGCAGAAACATCAGCATGTGTTTTTGTGCCAAGATCCCACATGTATTAGATTTATCGTGTTTTTACCATTATTGAAATAACAGTTTACTTAGCTTCTATTCATCAAATCCTACTTGTGTCCACATTCAGAGTGGAGCCAGAGCGACCTAGTCCGAGGCTCCAGACTTCGCTACTCTCAGCAGTGGACAGTGATCGCAGACGTCAACGATCAGAAGAGCATCAGGGCTGTCCTCCCTCCTGGGTCCTGTGCACCTGTGTCTGGAGAGTGAGTTCTGTCGTAACGTAAAACAGCAATTTCAAAACTGTGTCAAAAACATCTAAATGACAAAATAATCTCTTTTGGAATCTGAGCTGAAAATCTTTTTTCTTGTTACCTATGTGCAGTGGTGTGAAGTGCACACCACAGAGTTTCATTACACGTCACATCACTGATGTGTGTGTGTGGTTGAAGGTGCAGCAGACACAAGATATCAGTGACGGGTGTGGACAGAGATTCAACCTTTAACCAGAGGGGGCAGTAAAACGCCACTTTCAGCCTGGTGTTCTGCTTTCACTGAAGCCAAACTGACCTGAACGGTTTGAACTGAACAGAGTTTTTACTTCTCTCCCGTCCTTCAGGTTACTGAGCAGATGCTCTCCCGTTCAAGGCCTGAGGGCGGTTGTCAGAGAGACCAGTGGTCACCAGCTTCTTGAGGTGAGGAGAGCGGATGGTAGCGCGCTCTGTGAGAGCTGTGTTTGAACATGTGGACACACTGCTGTTGTTTTGTTGTTACTCTTAGATATGGGACTGCAACGGCCTCAGGAAATGCCTCAACCTGACTGCCCTCAACAAACATGGCCGAGTATATGACGATGGTGAGACGTGTTTTTGTACATGATTTGTTTTGTACCCTTTTATTTGTTAGTGTTCATGTATATGATTGTACAGATGTTCATGTCAATGTGTGTGTTTGTGTTTCCAGCTCAGTTTGGGTGTTTGTCATGGTCAGAGTGTGAGAACAAACTGTTGTATGTAGCTGAGAGGAGCAAGAACACGTCATCAGAAAGATGTGATGGGGAATCTGCATGTGGGAAGGTATCACAAACACACACACACACACACACACACACACACACACACACAAAGAAGCATTTTGTTGAGTACATCTCTGTAGACATGTCTCACATTCATCTCGTGGCTGTTCACAGGACAGGAGTGTGTACTGTGAGGACTGGGGTGAGGCTCTGACCAACAAGAGCAGCCCAGTGATTTGTGTGTTGAACTTGTACAGCGGCACCGTCACTGAGCTGCAGGGCGTGCCGTCTGATGTCTCACCTGGACAGGTGAGGAGGGCAAAGAGATTTACACTTCCTCATCTTCTGACCCAGCGAGGATTCATTTGGACTGTAATTAATGTGTGTGTCTGTGTCTGTGCGTGTGTGTGTGTTTGTGCGTGCGTGCGTGTGTCCTGTCCAGGCTCTGTGGGCTCCCGGGGGTCAGTCTGTGTTTTTTGTCGGTTGGTACCATGAACCCTTCAGACTCGGCCTGAAGTTCTGTTCCAACCGCAGGTGAAATATCTATTTTTTTTCAGTTTTTTTGAGTCAGCCTGAGAAACAGCAGCATTTTAAGCACCGAAATAATTAAGTGATATTTTGATACTTGGAAAAAATAAGTGAAAACTTTAATATGATGAATAATAAATAGTACAAATTCAAAAACACACTGTAGGTAAAAGCACTATTTACACTATTTTTTACTATCATTCTTAATCAAAACTGAAGAGGAAACAACTTTTCAAAACAGTAGCAAATGAGCAGATGAAACAGAAATTACATTGAAAACTGTTTTGGTACCAATTAGAAAACATTTATTTCAGTGACTTTAGTTTTTGGATCTAGCAGGCCTCTAACTACTAAATGTAAATGACTCTTTACGTCTTCCTCACTATATGTGTGCTTCTCTTTAAACTGTGTTTCAGGTCTGGGTTATTCAAGTTAGACCTGGATGGACACTGTGGTGAGGATGTTGCCTTTGTCCCTTTTGTTGATGAATGAATGAACTCACTAATTAAACCTCAGATAATCTGGTCCCTGTACATCCTCATCCCTCATCCCTCCATACTAGAGTGTCTGTCAGGGGACAACCTGTCAGTGTCCTGTCCGAGGCTGAGTCCAGATGGGTCCACACTGATCTACCTGCAGGGACGAGTGT